TGTGTGTGTGTGTGTGTGTGTGTGTAGAAGAAGCATGTGCGTATAATAATAATAATGATAATATAATATGTGAGTACCATATGTATAATATTATTATGTATACGAGAGTGTAGGGCGGTGCATAATGTATGAGTGTATGTGCATGACGTGTGCTTGATCCGGCACCATCAACAATAGCAGATTACGAATGCTATACTCAGTTCGCCTCGAACCTATGTTCCGTCTGACATCTTTGGCCGTTTTGAGTTACTTGCTAAGACCATGAGATCAGACACCAACTGTTCTGTCTTATTTATCCCAGTCGTAAGATAATCTGTAGTCTTCAATGAGATATTCAAAGAACTGTACATGTATTCGAAAAATGCTCAAGAACATGTTGTGAACTCAAACATTAGTCTCTTTGCGATAATGGAAAATGACGGGGATCCGTTTTTGATGGTCAGTTCTCCTCGAACCCATGCTGTAATTACATGCTTTTGGCTCTTTGGGTTGGGTGTGAAATGAAAATGGTATGAGTTTAACGCCCCTATCAACACTATTAGGTTATTTAAGAGGCGGGACCTCCTCATGTAACATCCGTCTCCGATAGGACCGAGCCAAGTGGGAAGTTCGTGTAAAGTGCCTTTCCCAGGGACACAACGTCGGACCGAGATGAGGCTCGATCCCCCGAACCCGCAATATCACGATTACGAGTCCGGTAACCTAACCACTAAGCTACCGACGCCACGCGTTAGTTGTAAATGATATTAGTTCAATTCCCTTTGAAGAGATGAAATAGTTTTTATTTGCGCTTCTTTCAATCAGATGGACTGGACGGTATCTGCGGAGACTGCAACTCGGTGAAGGATGACTACAGGACTCGGGATGGAATGGATGTGAGTGCTGTACCAAACTTTTTCTCACTCATTGGGAACTCTTACCTCGTGCCTGATCCTTTAGGCCTGGACGATTCGGAGGAGTGAGTATTACTTTTGTGACTGGTCTATCTGTCTATCTGTCTATCTGTCTGTCTATTTATCTGTCTGTCGGTCTGTCTGTCTGTCTATCTATCTATCTAGCTAGCTACGTCCTTGTCTGTCTGTCTGTCTATCCGTTCGTCTGTCTGTCTGTCATTTTAGGTCTCATGGTATTTAGATCTTAATGTCCAAACAGAAAGAACACTTTAGAGTTGTCTGTCTTTCAGGTTCCCGTCATTGCTGAAAAATTTTTTTATTTTTTTTAAATCTGATGATAATAAATCGTCTTGAACACAACAATAGGGTGTTATAATGATACATTTATCTAGAGCAATATCAGGATGGTGAAGTATATAACCAGAACAAAAAGAGAAAGACGTAATAATAAATTGT